GCTAAGGCTTTGGTAAAATACCTGAAGTCTTCCCACGTGCCTTAAGAGACCTCCGCTGATAAATTCGAGAATTGCATGGCTAGTTTGACAGCTGATAATGGTCTAGGATTCTCTAATGCGGATTTAAATCCCAAGGGAAGGAAACACAATGATGCCCTGCATGTCTCCATTGAGTGCAGGGGCACTACATTAGCCCATGTTCTAGTGGATACAGGTTCATCATTGAATGTCATACCCAGGAATGCTCTAGACATGTTAGATTGCGAAGGACTCATGCTAAAGCCCAATAACATTGTGGTGAGGGCCTTCGATGGTTCTAAAAGAATGATGCACAAAGAGGTGGACATCCCTGTCAAAGTGGGTACTCAGACTTTTAATTCCACTTTCTATGTGATGGATATCCGCCCATCTTACTCTTGTTTATTGGATCCACCCCGGATCTATGGGGTTGGTGCTGTGACTTACACCCTACATCAGATGCTAAAGTACCCAGTCAATGGGAAAATTATCACAATCCATGGGGAGAAGGAGTACATGGTGAGCCACCTGAACACTTTCAGGTACATTGAAATGGACGGCGAGTTCATTGAGACTCCCTGTCAGAACTTTGAGGAGGTTCCACAGACTGTTGTTGCAACCAAGACCACTGCCAGTGTTCCAAAGACTGCTAGACCTTCATTGAAGATGGATTCTCTGAAGGACGCCAAGGCGGTAGTCGAAGAAGGTGGGTTTATAATTTGGGGCAAACTTCCGGATATTCCCTACAAATCTGACAAATTTGGTTTGGGTTTTACTTCAGGAGCCCATAGAGTTGTTCGTTGTGCTCGCACCAGGGGACCACCTTTACGGATCAACAATCATGGAGTCAATACTTTGGAGGATAGTGATAATGATTGTGACCTGGACAAGTGAATCTTCCCAACCATCAGCGGTGGACTCAACAATTGGGAGGCTAAAGACTTTGTGCCCACTACTTTTATTCAAGAGTAATTTGTCTTTTTCTTTTTGAGGAAATGTAATATTTGAACAATTGAAACATGAAAGCCTTGTGTCTTACCCAAGGCACAATGGTCTATTTGTGAAGGTCATTACTTCATTTTCATATGCCATCAATAAAACATTGGACGTTTCGCATACAAATTTTACGCTCTTTGTTTTTTCTTTTCTGCCTTTCTATTTTATCAAAAATATACAGCTATGCTCTTACACACACCCACATAGCAACCTGCAGATCCACATCCACTCTAGATCCCATTGATAACGGTTCTGCTATTGCCAATTATGACTTTTAAAATATGATCTACCAAGCCGAGGACGAAGGTGAGGAAGATTGTAAAGTACCAAGAGAACTTGTCAAGCTGTTACAACAAGAACAAAGGGAAATATAGCCTCATGAAGAGCCAGTTGATACATTTAACTTAGGTACTGAAGAGGAAAGGAAAGAATTCAAGATAGGTGCCTATTTGGAGCATAGTGTCAAAGAGCGGTTAATACAGATGCTACATGACTATGTTGAGGTTTTTTCCTAGCCGTACGAAGAGATGTCAAGACTCGACACCGATATTGTGGTTCATCTCCTACCTACAAAAGAGGATTGCCCTCTAGTGAAACAGAAGGTTCATTGTATGTGGTCGGATATGTCAAAAAAGATCAAGGCTGAAGTTATGAAACAATTCAACACCGGTTTCTTAGATGTCCCCTCTTATCCACAATGGTTTGCAAACGTGGTTCCAGTGCCTAAGAAGGACGGTAAGGTACGTATGTGTGTGGATTAGATACCTGAATAGGGCAAGCCCCAAGGATGACATTCCCTTTCCCCATATCGATGTTCTGGTTGACAATACCGCACAACATAAGGTATTCTCCTTCATGGATGGTTTCGCCGGGTATAATCAAATCAAAATGGCACATGAAGACATGGAGAAGAAGACCTTTGTCACACAGTGGGGAACTTTCTATTACAAAGTTATGCCATTTGGGTTTAAAAATTTCGGGGTAACCTATCAACGCGCCATGGTAGCTTTGTTTCATGATATGATCCATCACGAGATAGAGGTCTATGTTGATGACATGATAACCAAGTATCAGACTGAAGGAGAGCACCTTGATCACCTGTTGTAATACGATGGTAGAACCGACTGTTAATACTGGTTTTGCATTTGGGTTTGCAAATGTTATGGTAAGCAAGAGTCACCACCGACTTTTCTTTTATCCAAATTAAGGAAAGGGTGAAAAGAATAGAAAAGACCTTTTCGAGAAATTTCTTAGTAAGGGGGGTAGATTATGGAAAGGGAATGTGTTAGCACCCTTTCCATCTGTAGTTTTCTACGGGCTCTTAGATGCTTAGCTCATGTTTTGAAAGTTGCTTGTGCTTTATGTATTTTGAAAAATGTTTTTTGAAATTCCTTAGTGCGGCGATTTGCTTTATGATAACTCTTGTATCAGTCCTCAAGAGTGTTGATAAAGCAAATGTTTTTGTTTTTGAAATGTGTAACTGTAAAAAAGTTTGTTTTAAGAATATCATCTAAGAACTATCTACTTATACTCGAAAAGGTTCGTTCTTTTCCTCATATCCTTTAGACAGTGTTATCATACTATTAATGAGTAGGTAGCCCTATTGTTGGATCTTTGAGGGACAATCGAAGGGACATTACAGTCAAGAAGGCAACTTGGCAAGAAGCTTTAGTAACCACCCTAAAGTTCTGATATCACTTTTAACTGAGGCAACATCGGGAGGGTCATCGAGGGGCTAGTTATCTTTAAACTGGATGATAATCACTAAAACTTCTCACATTTCGAGAATTGTGACTGTTTTTCGAAGGCAACCGAAGTGGGGTACCCTAGAGGTACGCATGTGAAAATGATTCATATCAATTCATTTATCTTTGTTATTAAGTTTGCTAACGCTTTATTTTCAGTCTTTTCATACAAGCCTAGTTACTAACAGTTAATATCTTGCAGAAATTTAAAGTGCGGGAATTGTAAATCCTATGCTATTACAATGTTTCGGGGAAGGGGTATTTACATGTCCAAATGGGGGAAAGAAAATAAAGAAAAGTAGTAAAGCCCTAGTTTAATCTATTACATACTTTCATCAGGTACATTATTATAAAAAAAAGCGAGAACAAGATAATGCGCGCGAATTTAAAATAACGTCTAAAACCCTAAAAAAATTGCTAAGTAAAATAAGAAAATCTTTTTGGTTTTTGTTTATTTTAAGAAAATAATTAAACTACCTTAAATCTAATTTTAATTTAAAAAAGATAATTACTAAAAGAATTTAAAGCCTAATTCTAATATTTTTGTATTTTTATTTGAGAAAATAATTTAAACATAAATTAAACCCTAAGTTCTAACTTATTTTAATTAAAAAAATGTTAAAGTTAATTAATTAATTAACTTCAGAAATTAATTATTTAATTAAAAAAAAATAATCCTAAGTTTTGTTAATTTTTTTTATTTGATTAAAAGAAACTTGTTGATTAAATAAAACAAACAAATTAAAAGAATAAAAATAAAACAAAATTCAAATGGGCCAGGGTGTTATGAAGAAAATAAGGGGCGTGCATCTGAAATTTTGCTTAGGCCCAATAAGAGGCAGCCTAGAATCCGGCGTTCAATCTGGTGGGGAATGCACTCTAGGGTATACCATGGTCCCTAGCCACTGGGATCGTTAGATTTGATCAGGTGTACATTCGGTTGTCATGATTTGGGGCATCTGATAAACCTGCATAGCCCACGCGCATTGGATCTGTATTGAACAATTGTTAGATAACAAAATGCTGGACTTGGAATTCGAACCAGGTCTTCTCCATTCACACAAACGCGCCTTACAGCCGAGCTGTACTCACATTCATTACATAAAATCAAACAATAATATAATATACAAAAAACGTCAATATCTGAAAATTAAAAAAAAACGTACGCGCTGCTTGGATGGCCCAATGGGAAGCTGCCACGCCTTGTCTTCTTCCTTGCTCCGTCGTCTTAGATAGTGAGATCTATAGTGACTGTTTTTGTTTATCACTATAGCATCTTCATTCTACAAAATCCATGATACACAACATAAATTAAATGTAAGGCCATTGATCGGTTGGCCTTGACCTCCTAAACATGATGATATCCTTGATTTGTGCTAATTTTGGCTATTTTAAAAAACCCCAATTCGAAGGTCCAAACCCTAACCATCGAAAAACACGATTCAAGGTCGTAGCTACTCATGTAATACGTTAGAACGTAAGCAAACATCATTAATAAGATAAACACATGATTAGTATGGATTTAGACAGCCTGTAATGAGAGTTTGAGATTCGGGAATTTTATCAAACGGTGAGACTCAATCTGCTTGACCTGGGACATTGCAAGCTTGCTCGAGAGTTAGGTCGAGTTCCTGGAAGCTTCAGGAAGATGTTTGAGTCCTTTGTTTGGACTTAGGGCGCCTGTAAATCGTATTTCAGTTTTGATAACTTTGGTTCAAATTTTTGGAATTTTTTGTGAAGCTCTTTCAGGCTATATGTTTTGTCTGTTTGACTTGCAAGTGTGTTGTATATATAGTGGAGATGGAGGAGACGAGGTAAGAAGCAATGAAATCAAGGCATTAAGCCATGGTTTAAAGCCATGAATGTCATTTTGAAAAACTGCCATTTTTGTGTTTTCATGCCATGTTGGGAGCTGAATGTATCTGGACACATTTTCACGAAATTATGGGCTTCTAGGCAAGACAAAATCATCATCCCAAATGCTAAAGCCCATCTCCATTTATTTTATACAATTTACTTTGTATTTATTTGAAATAAATCAAAATAAATATGAGTAAAATAGATAAAAATGGTAAGGCAATGTAAAAATGAGATTAGAGGTCCTCTATAAGTTAAGTAAGATGCTTGAAGTCCAAGAAATTAAGTCATTGTCATAAAAGTTTAAATTTGCTCAATGCATAATTCTTAAAATTTCCAAAATTTTCCCAACTTGGGCAAGCTATAACTTTCTCAATTTTGATC